TAAACAAATAAATAAATAAACAAATAAATAAATAAATATTTTTGGGGGAGGTGACCCTCCGCCTGGCGGCCCACACAGGAGTCACCTGCAGGCCAAATTTTGCCCGCGGGCCTTGTGTTTGACACATGTGCTTTAGGGGATGGTCCTTCCATTTAGGAAGTTAATAAATTTTGTGGTTAGAATCAAAAGAGTGAGCAATACCAAACAGACCTACTTAAACCTTATTTTTCATACACTGGTTCTACACAGGGATACACATTTAGGTTAATTCAAGGCCTTAAATTGCAATGAAACTGCCTCCCCCCATTTAATTGCATTTACAGGTACTTATAAAAGGAACAAAGCTTTTAGTTCTTGTCTCCTCACGTCAGCAGCACCCTGTTCGGGGTCAGGATTTTGTTTCAGAAATGTTGGGTGCAAGTGTGTTCATTGTTGCTGACTTCTTCTTTCAAAAAGGAGAATCAGCAAAATCTTTGCATGACTTATTGAGGTTCAACTGGGTCAGCTGAGTTGGTRCAAAGGTTAAAAATCCAGTTTTGATCTACAGACAGTGCTTTTGTTAATGCCAAAGTCAGTCTATACATTTACGTGACCACAAGTAGTTCACTGGTATTTAGTTTTGTTTTGTTTTAGATGAACTGTTACATATTGTAAAGTTTAAGTTAAAACAATTTAAAGGAAGAACTAAACGATTTTTGTTGTTTTTCATCCCTGTGTTCTAATTGACTTTGACTTTAACAGTTGGTTTTAAAAATGTATAAGTATGCAGTCCCTTAAATTCTGAATTACTACTTTTTCATCTGCCAAATTGAACTTTCTGTATGAACTGGTTCTTTTTAACTGGATCACTACAAAATAATTGTTTCTTAGATTTCTGAAATGCTCCAGTAAAGTTCAGATTATTATTATTTTTTTCTTTTTGCCACATTAGGATTTGTTCCACTTATTTCACCTGACCTCGRCACTCCTGATCGGAACCTCAGCCACCATTTCTCCTGATCTGCTTGATCTCCAAAATGGCTAACACAGACTGTGTCAGTGTGAGAGTCTTCTCTTTGAACTGCTGGTCAGTGGTTATGGTTTCAGAGATGTGCTTAATCTGCTGATTTTTTTTCTTCTTCTTCTAAGAACATGCAAGTCTGCAGAAAGAAATGACCCTGTTCGTCTTGTCTGTTTTTTTTCACAGGGGGATCCGCTATCTAAGCAAACTCTGTTCTCAGCGCTATCAAATGATTGGAGAAATGTTGTGCAAAGAAGAACATGATATAGTCTTACTACAAGAGGTTGGGAAAACTATCTTATCAAGTTGTAAAGTTACTGAATGATTGATTTTACTGATTATTTTTTAATGTATGGCGACAGACTTTAGGAAAAATCAACTGGCTGATTTAATATTACATACGACGGAGTACTAGGGCCACACAAGATATTTTATTTATTAATTTTTTATTATGAGAATAAAGTCATAATATTACGACATTAAAGTTGTATGAAAATAAAGTCGTAATATTATGAGAATAAAGTCATAATATTACGAGATTAAAGTCATAATATTCTAAAATGAAAGTTGTAATACTACACGAAAAAGCACGCCGTTACCACTGCATTATGATGAGGAATGTTGAGCAACTTGTCAAGTTGTTCTTTATTCTTACGTAAAATAAAGAGTTGATCTTTTAGCACATTAGCATCAAATTATCAGTAACAGTTCTTGGAAATTGTGCAAATGACTATAAACTGAAGCATGCATTGACAGATTTAGTCGGCACGTAGCTAATTTGGATGAAAGCATATTAATCTAACAATGACCCAAGTCATCACGGACTACTTTATAAACATAGATGTCCACAGAAGGTGTGCGGAAAATAAGGAGGAAATGAGGAACAGAAAATGGACACATCTTGTAAGATTATGACTTTTTTCTTGTAATATTACGACTTTAATCTTGTAATATTATATTTTTATTCTCGTAAAAGTACGACTTTAATCTCGTAATAAAAATAAAAAAAATCTTGTGTGGCCCTAATACTACGTCGTAATTACAAATTTATTAAAAAATGTTTTTTATACTACTTTTGAAGTAGCATTTTATTTTTTCTTAGGTGTGGAGCGAGAAGGACTATCTATACTTGAAAAAGAAACTTGCCAGTAGCCATCCTCATTCTCATTACTTTAAAAGGTAACGTATGCATCATCTTGCACGTCAAGAAATTCTTAACTTGTAGAACCTCAAAGGTCTTTAAATTTAAAAGTGAATGTTCATGTCTTCAAAAGGACAGTACTAGTCTTGTGTCGGAGAACATTACTCTCATTCCATTTAGTTCTCTGCAAAATTGTACATAAAGGATTAACTTTTGCTGCCAAGTCTTTTGTGGCCCCCATTCCAAATGTGTTTTTACACTAAGTCCTTTCTAATCTTAAAGGGAAAAAAGTCTTATCAACTAACATTCTGTTCATGTTTTTTTATTTATTTATTTATTTATTTGCTTGTTTGTTTTTTCATGTTGCAGTGGAGTCATAGGCAGTGGGCTGGCCATTTTTTCCAGACACAGAATTCATGATACATTTCTTTATCGCTATTCACTGAATGGTTATCCCTACATGGTAAGTCTGCAAAACTTCAGAGATGAAAGTCAGCTTTTTTGCTGCTAATGTAGACAGTTATGTTGGTAAAAATTTAAGAGTTCAATTACAAGTGAATATAGGCTAAATTTACCTTCAGATAGGAAAAAAATATTTATGCAGCACTGTAAAGGCAACTGTACATTTTTCATGCAGACCATCCAAATATACATTCATATTAAGCTGAATATACCCAACAAACCTTACTTAAAACTTGATCATGTTTTACACCATTTTACTGCTGTGCAGAGTGTCTCCTTTTGTCCCATTAAGAGTTTTTCTACTACTGTAGGCTCACCATGGGGACTGGTTTGGAGGTAAAGCTGTTGGAATGGCAATCATAAATCTTGGCGGCCTGACTGCAAACATTTATGTTACACATGTAAGCTCTAATAAAAATCACTTCTCAAATCTTTTTTTTTTTTTTTGGTATAACATTTTCATCTTTGATTTGTGTGCCTTCGTCCTTCTGTACTGATTATAGCTGCATGCAGAGTACTGCAGAGAGAAGGACACTTATCTAGCTCACAGAGTGGTTCAGGCCTGGGAGCTGCAGCAGTTTATCCGGTACAGCGGACACTTTGTCAGCTACTGTCGTGTGTTTGCATACTTTTGCATGGTGATGTTTGTTTGCTGGCATTTTGAGCGCAGCAAGTATCTCACTGGGCTGCTTCTGTTAGAGACTAGTTGGCTTTGCAAATTTGCAAGAAAATTGTGAGAAATTGTCAAGTTTTCTGTTCCTGTGAGCCGTGCAGCCACATTTTGCTCAGCCGATTTTTGAAAACCGTGGCCTGTTTTTTGTGTCGTGACGGCTTGCAAAACCGTAGACCAGGGGTGTCACTTGGTTTTAAAGACATGGGGGGCTTAGCCCCCAGGAGACGCACAGAATTTTTGTATATTATATATTTGTGTGTGTGTGTGTGTGTGTGTGTGTGTGTGTG